TGGAGTGATGGCTCAGTGGTGGGGGTGATGGCGTCTGGTCCCGTTTAATGTCTCGTAGGCAGGTCTTGGGTAAATGACCAGGGTTGGAGAGATAGCCCCTGCCCTGTGCCTATTCATGGTCTTGAATTCCTGGAGTCTTGGATGGGCATCTCTGTGCCCCCCACAGAGCCTGCTGGGTCAGGGTCCGGTGTTAAGAGTCCCTGAGAGGTGGGCCTCGTGGCCCATCCTGAGGAAGGGTGTGTGGCCCACTCGTGGGCTTTGGCCGTGGGGCCTGGCCTCTGGGTGCTGGTGGGCACCTGGGCTGCTGGGAGAGGGTACCCTGGCCCAGATGCCTGGGCTGCCATTGTTTCTGAGCAGGTGACCGGCAGCCTCGGCTTCTCCCCAGTGGGGGCTTCAGCTTGATAAGCCCCTCTCCAGCGCAGACCCCCAAACACCTGGTACTTGGAGGCCTGGGGCTCCGAGGCCTCGATAGGGCTGAGCCCTCCCTGGCAGCTGCTGTCTGAATTCCTGATGGCGCAGCTGGGTGGGGGCCTGGGCGGGGGGCCCTCTGGCTTCCTGTCCCCTTTTCCCTGCCACTCCCGCCTGGCCAGCCATTGGTGTGGCAGGAGGTCCATCCTCAACTTGGTCGGGGCTCCCTCCCTCCCCTCCCCTCTGCTCTCCTTCCTGCCTGCTGCCTGGCAGCCCTGGAGGGAAGGGCAGGGTGGGCTCCCCAAGGCCTGAGGTCGCGGGATGGGCCCAGGCTGCCTGGCTTGTCCAGAGGCCCCAGAACACGGAGTTGCCTGCCGGTCCTGGCGGGAGCTGGGGGCTGGGCTGGAGGCAGGCCTGCCTGTCAGGTTGGGTTAATGGCTCCAGCAGGCGGGCACTTCCTTCCCCTTCACACGGGCCTGGACCCCCACAGCGGCCTCCTGCTGAGTGGAAAACCTGCATCATCAGAGCCCCGACTGGAAAACAGGCCCTGTCTGCCCTCAGCCTGTGGCTGGGGACTGAGGCCGGAGGCTGGCTCTGCGTTCCACGTGTAGACCTATGTGCCTGCTGGCTGCCTCAGCAGAGCAGAGGGGGGCTCCAGCAGCGTCTGCTCTGGTAGGGCCCTCACCTCCTGCCCCTGATCCCCCTTCCCCCTCCTCCTTCCCCTCCCCTCCCCCTCCTGCCTCTCCTTCCCCTCCTCC